AATCTATCTTCTTCCTGGCACGTTGAAGTAAACGTAAGTCGTCAATCTCCGTTCCAGGCCTTAGGGTCATATCCTTAATAGCTCCCTGTGAATCCAGAAAGACTCTTTTTCCTTCTTGAAGATATCCATAAATGACACCTTGCAATGCCGGAGCATGCTTGATGTTCTTAAGTGGGTATACCTCCGAAGGACCGTAACCTTCTGGCACTTCTAGACTCTTTCCATCTTCACTCACAACTACCCCTCCAACACCTTCTAGAATAATACCGGGGGTTATACCAACCATTGCAGTACCGTTGAGTGAAGTGATAGTCGAAGGACCAGACCATATAACATCAAGATGGTGACCAATACGATTAGCCGGGCACTTGGAGGTAAACACTAAGTCGAATAACTTAGGTTCATACCTACGATCTTCAGTCATAGCCATACGCTCAAGATTTCTCTCTTGACGCATGCGCCATAGCTCCAAGTACTCCCTCAAGGTAACCGTAAACTCCTCCTTAGCGCTTTCCAACAGTGGCACGCTATCCTTGACAAAGCTTAAGAGATCCGTATCGAAATACTTCACCCTCAACTCGTCCCAATCAATATCACCGTCTGTGTCACCACGGTCACCAGGAACCCGTATACCGTAAGTAAAATGGAGTTCCGTTGGGCTTACATTCGCCCACATTCTTGGGGTGATGTTATATGCTCTAACAGCTAGCTGGTAGTCCTCAATATACGAGCCTTCGGTAGAACGATCCATAGATACTCTCAACGCTCTCGTCACTTCGACAAAGTCCTTGTGAGCTCTTTCCCAAAAGCTCAGGAATTGAGCATAACCGGGTAGAGTATAATATCGTACACCGTGCTTCTTCTGCTGTATCTCCACCAAAGAACAAGTCGTCCACGAACTTCTCGAACATCACCTTCTTAGGTATTGGGGGTCCATCCTTTATATAGTTAACCCCTTCCTCCGTAGGAAATAGGAGGATCTTATATACCAAGTCGTCGTTCAGAATGTTCGCGTTGACTGATTCCTTAGAGTTCATCGATACCAACCTTACCAGTTGTGATATCTCACCGGTAATATCATAAGAGCAAGCCTCAAGCATGCTCGGTGCTGTAGTACTCCCGAAAGAGAT